TTTTTTTTTTTTTTTTTTAAATAAACGCGGACGCCATCATGGAGACGACCAAGCTGCCTCCGTCCAGCCCGTCCTCGCCGACCACCAGCTTCTCGGTGCCGTCCGCGGAGAAGGTGGACGGCTTCCCGCGACGCTCCATGCGCAGAGCCCGGCAGAGGAGGTCCCACAGCTCGTCCCAGTTCCGCTACCAGAGCTCCCAGGTGGAGCTCACCCCGCTGCCCCTGCTCAAAGGTGAGACACTGATTTACTGTAGCAGCAGCAGCAGCAGCACTGTGGGAGTAAATCATAGTGAGGTCACCATGTTTTCACTTTATTCACTACACACACTGGTTCCTATTGATGGATGTCAGGTAATATTCTCCTCTCAGGCAGACAGAGGTGACAGCACTGACTTTGGTCTATCAAACACATGAGATCCACTTGACTTTTTGGGTTTTTAAGGCCTCCTGTTGTTGTATTCAGACATATGTTATTGATCCCCAAGGAGACATTCTGTCAAAGTGCTTTTATTCTGCACTTTGACATAATTAGTCTCATTATCAGTCAACTAACCGACTTGATTTGGATGAATTAAGTCAAAAATGTCCAAGAAAGCACAAAAATTAATTCAAATTCCCACATTAGTGAAGCTAAACTGGAGATTTTTATTTATTTTTTTACTTTTTAAAGCAGCTTCATCAATTAATTCAGCGTCAGAATCGCTGCTGATACATCTCCTCACTCCAACGAGTAATAAATAGAAGAATGACTCCGTTTCCAGCCTGTGAATACGGGTGAGATGTGATTATTTCCTGAGAAGATGAAAATGAACCGAAAACAGATGAGCAACTTTCAGGAAATGACAGTGTTCTTGCTAATCCTTTCTGTTTTTTTTGTTGTTTTTGTTTGTCCTCAGCCACTCAGTAAGCTGCCACAGGTTACTTTATGTAGTTTATTTGAATATTTAGGTAGAAAACATGAAATAGTCCAACACTTCCTGCCTCCTTGATGGCTCTCCATCACGAGGCCTTCCTTCGCTCACGTGGCCGACGTTGTCAAACCATCCTCATCCTCTTGCACCAACATCTTGACATTCAGACCGGTTTCGACATCCGAGCCGCAGCGTTCGCAGGCCCGTCGTTGCCATAGCTCTAATCCCAGAGCTGCCGTTAGCGCGCCGAGGCCACGTCTTTGATCTGCGCCAGTGTGTTCAGCGCGTCCTCTCACATCGGAGGCATGAGGCTGCAAAAGACGAGGGACCCGTTTGGCTTTTATTCTCAAACGTGACGCTGTCTGCATTTCCTGTTTACCGCCTGCTCCTGTTTGATGTCACACAGTGGGGGAAAAACAAGCAGTTAGGTGTTCTTTATTTATGAGAGTCACTGTAGAAGTTGCTGAATGAACACACTAAAAGTTCCAGCTCTCAACTGAGTATATGTGAGGTTGATCAAAGAGCAGCTGACATTATAGGGCTTCTTCTACATATCAGGATTTATGTCTCAGTTGCTTTAACAGATGTTATTTTGGTTGTGGGAAAGTGGCATTTAGGTGTTCTTTAGCTGTCGAAATTGCTCAATTGATACAAGTTGGACTGATCAGTTGGGAAAACAAAACATTTTCTGCTCCCAGCTCTCAAATGCAAGTATTTACTTCCTGAATATCTTTGTTTGGTCGGTCAAAGAGGAGTTCTCTGCCATTATTGGCTCGTCTATATATCAGAATTTACCGCACTGTTGCTTTAACGGATGTAATTTTATTGATGAGTTAATGTCGGATGTACAAAACCGACAACCTGCTCACGTTTCAGAGTGGACACGTAGCATTTGAGTGTTCTTTATTATTAGTTGTAGAAATTGCTGAGTTTATACACAGAAGCTGGAATGTGTCCAGCTCTCCAATGTGAGGATTTACTTTCTGAATATCTTTGGTTGGTTGGTCAAAGAGCAACAGCCATTTCAGGGATTCGCTGCCATTTTCACTTGTTCTATATATTAGGTTTTATTGCACGGTTGCTCTACCAGGTGTTATTTTGCTGCTAGAACATGTCAGAGATGTCCAGATCAATACTTTTGTACCTTTACGTTTGGTCCGCTCAGGCTCATGCCTTCGTGTTCCTACTTTTTTCTTTAATATATATATATTTATACCATGGTCTGGGTGAATACTCGATTCTGATTGGCTGCAGGGTGTCCATTAACAAGTGATATACGACACCTATAAAGAAGTTCCGGTCAAATAACCTGATTGTTCTAAATTAATGCGCTGACTCAAACGGTAGTTGGTCACCGTGGCAACAGAAACTCAGAACATACGTTAATATACGTTATTTCAGTTTATTTATCACAACGGCAAGACAGCAATAACAGCTGCGGCCGACCGGTTACCTTGGCAACGCGTCACAACGAGAGACATGAAATAGTCCGCTCAGCCGCTTGTTGTGGAAAACTTACGATTTTAACGGTAAAAAACAACATTAACGTATTAATAATTGATTTAATATTTATTTAGTAATATCTTTCGTAAGTGACCATGGTATAAGCGGGATAATGCCCTTCGAGGTGTCCATTATCAGAAATTAATGGACTTCGCGGAAGCAACCGTCCTCCGCTTCGCGTCGGACGGTTCACGCCTCCGCGTCGTCCATTATTTTCTGATAATGGACACCTCGTCGGGCATTATCCCTTACATATTATACATCCATCTCTTCACTTCTACCTTCCACATCTCTCCCACACCTGTGCACAAAGGCAGATTGTATGTCCTTACATTTGCCTCTGACCTCTCTTTATAAGGTTACACCCCCTTTCATGTAGCCTACAATCTCTCCCCATTAACCTTCCACCAAGAGAAGACCTTTCTGCTTTTAGAGATGGTACGAGGTGCTTGCGCCGGTGTCTCTGCTCTTACCAGCTTTTTTTTTTTTTTACGCCTCATTTCCTCAGATTTAACTTCCTCCCAGGCAGGTGCGCGGGGTGACGTTCTGCATGATGATGGGAGGGCTTCGTTGTGCAGCACCTCTCGCTTCCCCGTTGCATATATGTGTGTGTGTGTGCCGTAGCCATGGCAGGCAGGAGTCCCAGTTCTTGCATGGCTGCTGCACTGCTGCGGCACTGTTTCCGGATCCCCTGGAGGAACTGATAGTAAGATCCTGCAGCATCGGTGCAGGAGAAGCGTCTGGCGTGGGGAAGTCTCTAACGGGCAGTATGTAGGCCAAGTGTAGACAGACTTGTGGGTGTTTCGCCCTTCAGGGAGTCACGTTCCCTGTTGTTAATTTGAACTTCTCCTCTTAGTAGCAGCAGCAGCAGCGGCACAGTGCTGGCACTTTGAGCCAAGCTTCATATTTCGTTTTAGCTTCTGGATGTGAAAAGAGGCACAAAAAGATGTGACATTAAACAGTGAAGAAGACAAAAAAACCCACTAGTGAGCAGAATTAGAGACAAAATCCACCCTGAAACCGCTACAGGTGATGAATATTGTCTTCTTCTGGCTCAGTTTTGCTGTTTATTGTTGTATATCAGACAACTAGTAATGCATACGTGCATTTTTAAAGGCACTTGTTAAGATTACCAACAGTAAACATGACATTTTCTGATCTGGATCCTAAAAAATAGCACAACTCCAAACAGAATGACAGAAAAAGACTTAGCGATAACGCAGCCACAGCTAGCATCTTTGCAGATTTACCATCAGTAATCAGTAAAAAAAACAACTTCTTTGAAACCGAAACAATCTTTGTCTGTTCTCAGAGATGTAAAGACGACTTGTGGACCTCTCTTTTTGGTATTTAGAAGGCACCATGGGAAATGTAGGCTGTCACTACTGTGAAATAGTTGAAGTACAGAAAGGAAAAGTGGCTAAACAACAACATTTTATTGACGTTCTGGAATGCACTGGACAGCATAAAGTGGTGTCCAACGGTGAATCGTTGGTTCTAGTTTTAAAACAGATCAGTTCTTTGGTTCCTGTGCAATAGCTTTGTAGTACCATGGTGTAATGCAAAGGCTTCAGTAAAACTCTAGCTGTTGCTTGATCTATGACATATTTTGTGTCCTCGAGCCACCAGAATGAAATCCTGTCAGAGCGAGTGTGTTTGCAGATCTGTCATCAGCAGACTATGAAGTAGTGTCTATCTGCCTCTAAAAGAACTTTTTTTTTGTAATTCGAGAGGAAAGAAGAAACTCAAGTCAATCTGTGGGTCAGTTATTCTGCTACATGGAGCCGAGGAATCTTTAACAACAGAAGCGTTGTGCACTTCATGTAGCGAGGCGGATTCTAAAGTGGACTGGCGTGTATGTAAAATTTTATAATGTCAACGATGGACATGATGGGTTTTTGCAGGATCGTCTGATATGTTGACCACGGGGTCATCAAATGATTTGCAACAAAACACTCAGGAGAATTGTTGTTATTGTTTCTGCTGAGATGCATTTTCTTCTTTCTGAATAATGATCTCTAATCCTTCAGTGTTTATTATTTGTGGAGATATGGATAATGGATACATGCGTACACACAGCAGTCTGGTTCAATCCCTTATTGAAGCAAACATCTGTTGTACTAGTAGGTCGTTGAACCAGGCATTGATGTAGCTTCTTGTCTGCAATTGACCTCTAAGTGTTTCTCGAATAACAGCACGGATGAGCGTTACTAACAGTAAAGGATATCTTTTTTTAATTCAGTAAACATGCATAATGTGATCTTGAGGTGAGACAGTCGGCAGAGAACCGATCTGGAAGGCTGCACCGGCCACTAAAAGAGCAGCAGGGATGGTCAAGGCGGCCAATTAATCCATAGACAAAGGGTCAAGGATACTGAGACCCTGTAATCCCTTTTTACAGTGCAGTCATGTTTGGCCAGCGGCCTGCAGCATGTGCACATGAACACTCACTCTCTGGCATTTCACTTCTCTCCGCACACAGTGTTCTTGGATCGCTTCTGAACTTCAAAGTGGTTGCACTGTTCTGCAGTGGGCCGTTTATTTCGCTATAGATGGATGCGCTTGTTTAAAATAAGTAATTTATGGTGAGTGTTTGTCTCAGGAGTCTTTCCTATCCATTGCTGGTGCTACCTCACATCTCCGTTGCTGTTGTTTAATGCTAGAAGTTGGTCTTTTTTTGGTCACAATTAGCTCCATTTTGAGTGGTCTAAATGCTCCTGTTAAAAATGGAGCTTTAATGTAAGTACTGCTGAAAGTTTCCAGCCCCAAATGAGACGATGATTAAGTCGCAGCGAGGAACCGGGGCTCGATAAACTTA